TGGTTAGAGAACCAATGAAATCTGGAATTTGGATCCCATAGAAATCAATCAATGAAAGGTCCAAATATTGTAAATGCTGCAACTCAATCAGTTTAGGACTAATCATCTTACCTTGGAAAGAATATCCAAAAATATCATGTTGAATCGTCTTACCAGGGAAAGAATATCCAAGATCAAGTTGAATGACATGGCCAGTTTGGTTGCTACAATAGACTCCTTCCCATCTGCAACAATCTTGTTTTTCGGCTTCTGAACCCCAAGTTGAGAGTTGATTGAACTCATCCACCAGGCCACGTTTGAATGCAAGTAGTGCTTGCCTTTCCCTCTCTATGCACCTCACTGTCACTTTAGCATCTCTGAGGCTGTGGCTGTGGCTGTGGCTAACTTCTCCTCCTTTTACGTTTTGTAGGAAAAGGATCAAAAGTGCAAGAAAGAGTTTCAAGCACCTTCCGTCGCCCTTCATCTTAATTGATCAAAAGCACATGCACATGCAAAGACACTGCAAGTATATATTGATATATGCTAGCTTGCATCAGATATATATAGGAAAAAAAGGAAGAAAGCCTTTACAAAGAAAAACACGGTTTAGCTAAAACAGTGCCACACATTCATACAAGACAAAACCATATAAGGGAGTAAATTATCTGCTATATACAATGCATAATTAATGTTATGGAAATCACACGTCAATCACAATGAGACTAGAATGTCAACGTGCAATTCTAAAGAAAATTCCTAATACTTTGGATTCGAATCTCTTTATTATGGAGGTAATCATAACTTACAGAAACCAAATTAATTATGATGGCATGGATGAAACGAATGATGATCACAATACTTAAATTAATATTCCACTACTTTATTTCTCAACAGCAACAAAATTGATTTTTGTCAATTGTATGCATGTTTTTTTTTTGTTTCCCCATTCTTCTTTCTTTGAAGGGTTTTTTTTTTAAATTTTAATATAATTTTAATTAAGAGCTGAGGGTGGGTCCAACAAAAAATAAGAATCCAGGGTGGCGTCTTGTAACCTGTAATGAGGAGAACTCTCTAGTTAATTATAATTTACAAAAAGGAAAAAGGAGCTCTTAGATATAGGTCCAATTTCACTTATGTCATCAGAAGTGGACTATACCAAATTTTCTAAAAAGAAGAAGAAAAAAACTATACAACGTACAACTGACTCTTATTCATGTAACTGTGGAAAAAGATATTTGAAGAAAAATTTGTCAGTGGTCCAAGTAAACAACTAATAAATCAATGAACATTGGGGAAATCAATGGATGAGATCAAAGACTTGTGATTTAGACTTGATATGTTGACTTGCCATCCAACACGTGCTCCAACTGACAGGTATTGATTCAACTTGACTTGGTAAGGTGCCTTCTCGTGTCCACTCAACCATTGACTTTGCATCCCATCCCCTTAGGAGCAAGTTACAAATATCTTCTTGCAAATGTGGACTTGACTTAAGTGAAACATGTGGAAATATCTCTACCCAACCCAATATTAATATAATGCCTATATATTTATTGATACTAAAAAATGAAAATTGGGTTTTTATTCAACAACTATAATATGAGAGCTTTTCAAAACACTTTGGTTATTGACCAAGTCTATTTTGAAATGCCCTTATAATTTAGGTTAATATTACATGGGGTCTTACGATTACACACATGAAAGTGGATTATACCAAATTTTCTAAAAAGAAGGGGAAAAAAAAAACTATACAACGTACAACTGACTCTTATTGATATCACTATGTGGAAAAAGATAATTGAAGAAAAATTTCAGTGGTCCAAGTAAACAAGTGATAAATCAATGAATATTGGGGAAATTAATGGATGAGATCGAAGACTTGTGATTTAGACTTGGTATGGACCATATGGTGATTTGCCCGTCAATGCAACGATTGACTTAGAATTGATATGGTGATTTGTCTTCCAACGCATGCCCCAATTGACTTGCAGAGGCTTGACTTGGTAAGGAGCCTTCCCGTGTCCAATCAACCGTTGGCTTTGCATCCCATCCTCCTAGGCACAAGGTACAAATATCTTCTTGCAAATGTGGACTTGACGTAAGTGAAACATATGGAAATATCTCTACCCAACCCAATATTAATATAATACCTGTATATTTATTGATACTAATAAATGAAAATTGAGTTTTTATTCAACAACAATAATAGGAGAGCTCTTCAAAAAACTTTGGTTATTGACCAAGTATATTTTGAAATGCCCCTATAATTTAGGTTAATATTACATGGGGTCATACAATTACACACAAAAGTGGATTATACCAAATTTTCTAACAAGAAGAAGAAAAAAAACTATACAACGTACAATCGACTCTTATTCATAAATTTTTAGTGGTCCAAATAAACAAGTGATAAATCAATGAATATTGGGGAAATTAATGGATGAGATTGAAGACTTGTGACTCAGACTTGGTATGGACCATATGGTGATTTGCCCGTCAATGCAACGATTGACTTAGAATTGATATGGTGATTTGTCTTCCAACGCGTGCCCCAATTGACTTGCAGAGGCTTGACTTGGTAAGGTGCCTTCCCATGTCCAATCTACTGTTGGCTTTGCATCCCATCCTTCTAGGCACAAGCTACAAATATCTTCTTGCAAATGTGGACCTGACGTAAGTGAAACATATGAAAATATCTCTACCCAACCCAATATTAATATAATACCCGTATATTTATTGATACTAATAAATGAAAATTGAGTTTTTATTCAACAACTATAATAGGAGAGCTCTTCAAAACACTTTGGTTATTGACCAAGTATATTTTGAAATGCCCCTATAATTTATGTTAATATTACATGGGGTCATACAATTACACACAAAAGTGGATTATACCAAATTTTTTAACAAGAAGAAGAAAAAAACCCATACAACGTACAATCGACTCTTATTCATAAATTTTTAGTAGTCCAAGTAAACAAGTGATAAATCAATGAATATTGGGGAAATTAATGGATGAGATCAAAGACTTGTGACTTAGACTTGGTATGGACCATATGGTGATTTGTCTTCCAACGGGTGCCCCAATTGACTTGCAGAGGCTTGACTTGGTAAGGTGCCTTCCCGTGTCCAATCAACCATTGGCTTTGCATCCCATCCTCCTACGCACAAGCTACAAATATCTTCTTGCAAATGTGGACTTGACTTAAGTGAAACATATGGAAATATCTCTACCCAACCCAATATTAATATAATACCTGTATATTTATTGATACTAATAAATGAAAATTGAGTTTTATTCAACAACTATAATAGGAGAGCTCTTCAAAACACTTTGGTTATTGACCAAGTATATTTTGAAATGCCCCTATAATTTATGTTAATATTACATGGGGTCATACAATTACACACAAAAGTGGATGAAATCAAATTTTCTAACAAGAAGAAGAAAAAAACTATACAACGTACAATCGACTCTTATCGGAGCAGCTTCCTCCATTTTGCATTCGGATTCTTTGATTTGATTTGTTTTGTTGCTCATTAAATGATTAGTATATGAATTACTCAGTCCCGTTCTTCAAAACTCCTGTGGTCCGAGGAAATTGTGGTCATCCACTCTTGGAAATGTGGATGGGATTGGTATCCTTACCTCACCCTCTTTCCAATTCCATCATTGCCCCGTTAAATATTTTATTATAAAGTATAAGATTTCAAGTATTTTAACTTTAAAATTAACTTAGATGGTGCTGCTCGTGGTTATTCTCGTGATTTTGGTAGCCGTTGTATTTGTATGCTACATCGACATATTTGTTATAAAATGTAGGCCTTGCAATTCCAAAACTCTAGACTAGGTACGCTATTTTTATTAACCTAAAAATTATTGTGACCATGTCTATTAAAAAATAATTTACCTATATTCTACATATCTAATACAAGGTAAATTATCTATATTAAAAATACGCAAATATTTATAAAGAAACAGGTTACATTAATTATGAGAGAATAGGTACATTGTTTCTATATAAAAAAAAATAGAAACGTTACTATTGAAATTAGTTCTATAAAATAAATAGGTACATTTTTTTTTAAAAACTAAGAATTAATTACCTTAGTTTGTTTTAATGTACCTAAGAAAATGTAGGTAATTGCAGGAACCTAAAACAAAGAGTATTTGATTTTAAAAAGAGAGGAAAAAGTTACTTAAAATTTCCTAAATCTATGCAAAATTGAAACATCATTAATGTGTTATGTGCATACTGATAACACAAATTAGGGGTATTTTTGGGATCTAAAAAAATTACAATAAATTAGATTTTAAGTTTAATTAGGTAAATTGATGAGTCGAATCCAACCATCAGGTTTTAATTATAAAAATTGAGTTTTATTTACAGAAAAATAAAATGATGGATTGTAGGTAAGACATAATTAGTTTGAAGGGAAAAAGTCATATTGGCTATGAAAGGAAGGTAATATAGTAGTTTAGATTTAGAGTAGTTTGGACTATATCATTGTATTTGTATACATCTGCAAATGTGGGTTAGGCTAATTGGTTAGGACGGCGAGCTTACCCCTTCCACCCAAGTTCAAATCCCTTTCCGTGTAGATTACATTAGTTTAAATTAGTTCAGATACTAACGCTTGTGTACCCAAGAAAGAAATAATAGCTTTGGTTCTTGTTCCCCTCATTTTATACTTATTCCTCTCTTTTTTTTTTCTCTCTCTCTAAATAATGTAGGGAAGGGGGAGGGGGGCTTCCAAAGTGTAGATCTTTCACCTTCAGTATGAAGGGTGTGGGTTTGTGTGCTGTAACATTCAGTTTAATTTAAAAAGAAAAAAAAAAGTTATAGAACGTACTCCAGACTCTTTCTTAGTCAATATCACAGTCTGTGGGAAAAAAAACAATTAAAGGAAAGAAAAATCTCTTCATGATGCAAGTGGACAAGTGATGACTTAATTGTTTTATTTGAATATGGGTTTGTCTTTTTCTAGTTCGTCTTAAATACGATACATAGAAAAGTAGACTGACAAGTCAAAAGAAGAAGAGAAGGTGAAATTAGTACTTAGGTGAATGGGGTAATTTAAAACCTCAAAAAAATAAAAAAAAAGATTTGCAGATTAATGGTCTCAGATTCGAATCTTCATGGCACATTGGTAGTGTATGTGAGAAACCACACTCTCATTTAATTTAGACTATCGCTTGTACTAAAACAAAAAAACTGAAAATATAGCACATGTTATTTATTAATAGTAATACTATACATGAAAGTATAATTCGGCCACTAATAGTCAAACAAAGTAGGGCAAATATTTAGATATGCTCGTATATGCTCATATTCTTATTCTTCTCCAATATAGAGGTATTTATACAAGTACAAAGAGGTATTGTAAATCTCTATTACAATAGGACTAAATAATAATTGGTAAGTAACCAAAATTCTAATGAAATAAGGAACCAAAATTCTAACTAAGTAAGGACTCGCCAACACTCCCCCTCAAGTTGGGCAAAGATATTTCGCGCGCCCAACTTGACAAGCGAGTCACAGAACACCATACTTGAGAAGCACCAATTGTAGAGAAGGTCTTTTCGTCAACCACGAGTGAAACAAGTGACAAACTAACGCAAAGTTCGCAGCAGAAACACAAGAGCAAACCCTAACAAATAGGGCACATAGAAGAACACATAAAAGTAGAACACAGAAACCCTGTGAGCACGGCAGTAGATAAGGCAGAACACAGACACCCTGTGAGCACGGCGGTAGGTAAGGCAGAACACAGAAATCCTGTGAGCACGACAATAAATAAGGCAGAACATAGAAACCCTGCGAGCACGGCAATAGGTAAGGCAGAACACAGAAACCCTGCAAGCACGATAATAGATAAGGCAGAACACAGAAACCCTGTGAGCACGGCAATAGATAAGGCAGAACACAGAAACCCTGTGAGCACGGCAGTAGGTAAGGCAGAACACAGAAGCCCTGTGAGCACGACAGTAAATAAGGCAGAACACAGAAACCCTGCGAGCACGGCAATAGATAAGGCAGAACACAGAAACCCTGTGAGCACGGCAGTAGGTAAGGCAGAACACAGAAACCCTGTGAGCACAGCAATAGATAAGGCAGAACACATAAACGGCGGTAGCAAGGTAGGCGGCAACGACGGTATTAAGATAGATAGCGGCGGAGGGCTAGGATTATAGGCTAGGTGTATAGTGCAGCGGAAATAGGTAGTGTTTAGGGTTAGGGTAGAGACAGATCAAAAACACAGCAACATCATCGGCAATGACCATAGCAATGGAAAGCGAAGTAAACAGAGGCAACATCAACGGCCACAATAGCGGCAACGGTAACATCAATTGCGGTAGTAGAGGCAACGGCAACGGCAACGGCAACATCAACAATTCTTCCATATCAACTTTAGCTAATTCACGCAGACACAACCTCTCTTCACTCCCCCTCTCCCCCTGAAGAGAAGGGGTCGTCGGAGCCAAGAAATAAGCAACATCTTTATGGGAATACGTCTAGGTAATGGGGATACGTCAATAAACATATTCTTTTCACTCCCCCTCCCCCCTGCAAGAGGAGAGGAGAACACTTAGATTGCAAGAAGAACGCAAGCACGGGTCACAAGAAAACCTGGCTCTAATACCAAGTCAAACAAAGTAGGGCAAATATTTAGATATGCTCGTATATGTTCATATTCTTATTCTTCTCCAATATGGAGGTATTTATACAAGTACAAAGATGTGTTAACCCTAAATAAAATAGAAAATATATCTAAATTACAATAGGAAGTAAATCTCTATTACAATAGGACTAAATAATAATTGGTAAGTAACCAAAATTCTAATGAAATAAGGAACCAAAATCCTAACTAAGTAAGGACTCGCCAACACTAATCACATATTATCATTTAGACTGTTCATGATGTGTCTCTTTGTACACATATGTACATTTGTCAACTTCAATTTCAGAATCATTGAAAGTAATCACATGCATTATAAATATAATTCACATGCAAACGTATCAGAAAAAAAAAAAAAACAAAAAACAAAAAAGTGGGCATGAATGGTGTTCACCCGTTTTGATTTGTTTCCTGTGATGGTAGGGCGAAATTCCCCATTGACTTGAAAACCATTGACTGGTCAACAAGTCAACTTTCTTTAGTGTGCGAGCGTGCCACTGCTAGCAATGAAAATCCTAGCAGACTTTGTAAAAATAGATAACTTGCGCCCCAAGTTACTGATTTTTGAACAAGCGATTGTGAATTTGGGTGAGGAATATCTCCCAAGTAAGTTCTTTTCTTGCCTCAGACTGGTGAGGACTTCACAATTTTTCACAGTACAAAACTGGCAGTTCTTGCTAGAATAAACAACAAAAGAGTGATCTGTTTTCAGGTAGAACTCTCTTTTACAAAACCCAAAAAGGAAAAACTAACTACAAAAAGACAAAAAAAGGGTTGTGCTTCCATTTCTGTCTGGGTAGATACTTTTGATCCGGGCTGGATTGGGTATGCTTGTGCTGGACTGGACTTTCAACAACTTCAACTGCTAAGCTTCAGCTGCAAATCAATACCAAAGCTTAAGTTTGGCAGAGCTTTTAATCTATTTCAAGCCTTGGAAGGCTTTTGAATGGGCAGAACTGGAACTTTTTCAGTCTGAAAGGGGCAGAAGTGGCTGGACTTGAGCTGGAACTGCGCTGTGGCGCCTGTTCTACTTAGTCAAGGCTCTTCATAAATTTGTTGAGGTTTTTGTATTTGTGAAAAACCCAAACTCTGCTTGCTTTGACTTGGTTGAACCAAATTTGTAACGAGAAAAATCTCGTTTTGAATGACTTTCTTCTAACTCTGGAAACTAGAAGTTTCAACTTGTAGCTGGCTTTCTTGTGGCTTAGCTAGCTTTTGGTTGCTTCAAATTGCTTGAAGGTTTTCTGAGATCAAGTGATCACTTTGAGTGTTTGTCTTTTGACTGATTGTTTTTGGTTGTTTGATTGTTGTTTTTTTTACTGTTTACCCTCTCTTATATTTATAGAAAAAATTTCTGGGAGTGAAATAATGGGCGGTAAAAATTCCCAAAAGATCTTTTATTTTAAATGCAAAAGAAAAGGGGGTTTTATCATTTCTTGGCAAGTAAGCTTAACAGTCAGTCACTTCTCTGTGCTAATGGGGAACCTCACCTTCTTTTTCCAGTCTTAACTGCTCTTTCAAACCGTGATGGTAAGTTTGATTTCCATTTTTTAGTAACTCCCTGTTTCCTGCTTATCTCTTTTAGAAGGTATAGTCTGCTTATCTCTCGAAAGTGGTGCCTTCTCTGTTTTAGAAAAAATATCTCTGAATATATATATATATATATATATATATATATATATTTTGATGGCAGAGCTTTTTCCAGAGATACTTTTCTTCTGCTGCTACTAGCCCTATATTATTCCTAGTTGAAATTGCTGACTTTTCCAAGTCAGGGGTCACGTGGGTCTGGAAAAAATCTGTTTCCCTTGTTCCTGGGCTTTTTGAAAGAAATGGTAGAACTGTCTATAGGGTTTTGGGCTTAATTTTTTCTTCCAAGGCCCAAGCCTTTTGTATAGTTTTCTGGGCCTTTCATGTTTGGATTGAGCATATCTCTTTTTGGCCCAATCATTTGGTGGCTGTCAAAAATAACGTTGGCTTTTTCACTTTGGACTGGGCGCACCAAATTTAGGCCCAAACAAATAGTCGACTAGATCTATTCAAGCACATGTATATATATGTGGCCATGAAGAAAAGGTGGGTCGTTAAAACATACCAAATGTCATCTAAGATGTCGTTTATTTCTTGGAGCACTTGGGACTTAAAGAGATACGACTCCAACTGGCACAATGCTACTTTTTTCAGTTCACTGATGGTCCCTTAAAGCAAGCCTATATGACAATTATTTGCATTGTTCAAACTGTGACTGATGAGGATGGGGTAAGCAAGAGAAATGCATATCCATCCTTAGCTTGGAAAAGAAGAAAAGGAACTTTAATTCATTTGTATGCTCTTCCTTTTCAACGCTATATATATATATATATATATATATTTAAAGGCAAAGGTCCCGACCCACTAGTGTTTGATTTTTAGCATACCAAATTATGTCATAATATCAACAAAAATGATCGTGATGCCCATCCCAAAGTGTTTAATACTTCCAAGCTATGCCAATTCTCTTTTTGGTTTTTTTGAGATAATTGGTGTGTCGGTAACACCTTACATGGTGTTATAAGCATGAATTGTAGCAAGAGTGGAGGGAAATGCAAAGGGAAACTTGCTTTGCTGTGCTGCCTCACTGGCGGAATGGTGATCTTTTTGGAGAGCAACAAGCACTCTGTTGGTGCATCTGTTGGTGCCTTCATTGCTCTTGTGGTTTCTTCCTTTCCTCAACCCATCGGCCCCGTTTGGTTCACGGAATGGATTTGATGGGAAATCATTTCCCATGTCATTTCCCAAGGGATAGGAAATGGCGATTCCTTTCCTATGTTTGGTAATCCCGGGAAAGTAACCCGGAAATATTACTTTATTTCCTTTCCCATGTTTGTTTTGAGTAGGAAGGGGTAACTAATTTTGTTTAGTTTCCCAATTTTACCCCTATTAAAAATATGTTATGAATTAAAAAATAAAAAAGGAATACCAATAGTTGTTGGATAAAACTATAATTATAAATTATTAGTAAGGACAAATTAGTCATAAAAATGTGCATTTAATGCTAGCCTTACTTTCCCATGAGAAGGGAAAGTAAAACCCAAGGAGGGAAGATGGCTTCACTTTCCCCCTCTACTTTCCCATGTCCAAGGCAACGATTTTCCATGCCTGACTTACCAAACATGGGAAAGCAATTCATTTCCCATCCCCGAGTTTCCTTTCCCATGAACCAAACGGGGCCATCAAGCTCTCCATGGAGCACACACACTTGTGCAACTACAAGAAAAAAGGTCAGTAGTGACCAATTTCTCAGTGACTGAACTGAGAACGGTTACAAAAGGTATGCATTTAGTGACTAAATATGTTATATGGTCTCTCAAGTGATTGGGGCATAATTTTTAATTTTAATGACCAGATTTGGTGATAAATAGTGAATAATTTAAATTTAGTCACTGAAAACAACTTAAATTACATAATTAGTGACCAACATATATTGCCACGTGGGCTACTATTTAATTAAATTACACATAGTGACCAATTTAACTTTTGTTTAAATTTATTATTCGTTCAAATGACTATTTACTCAAAAGAAGGAACGAAGCGAGCAAATTGAAGGAACGGAGCGAGCGAGCAAACTGAGCTTGCTAGCGAGCTCAAGCTGAGCGACCGTCTTCTTCGTCGAGCGAGCGTCCTCTTCGTCGTCTTCTTCGTCTCTGTGGTTTCAATTTCTAGGTTTTCTCCCAATATATGTGAGCTTTCTATTTCTCTGTGGTTTCAATGTCAGTTTTGATTTCATTTGAGTTTGATTTGAGTGAGATTGTGATTGTGATTGTGATTCTCTATTCTCTAATTCCCCAATTCTCTATTCACTGTGATTTTGAATTCCACTGTGATATTAATTTTCCTAACTATGATTTTGTTTTGGGTATATTTTGTGTTTATTTATCTTGGAGTCTTCAATTTAGTTCATGGAGGCTTTGATTTGATAAATTAAGGCTTCAAGCTTGCAGAGGCTTCGGTTTACTTGAGGAAAATATTATTGCATTATTCATGTTTGCTTTCAGAGCATAGTCCGTGTACAGAGTATGTAGATTTGAAAACTTATAACTGCGACTAGTCTTTTTGGTTTAGGCTGTGCCCCCTATGTTACCAAAAAAAACCTTATAACTGCAATGGAAATTCTCAACTAGTTTTGATGAAATAGGGGGAAGACCCCCAAACCAACAAGTATTCTATTTAAAGGATACAAAATAGAGTACAGAGTCTACATTTTGTCTAGTTTATCTAGTTTCTTTTAGGTTCACAAAGTCTCCATTTTTTATGTTTCGTGGTTATGATGAAACATACTGGAGTGAAAATAGAGTATAGAGTTAAACTTCTGCTACACTTAGCAAGCCTTTATTTTACCTTTTAATATGATTCGATGCTTATTTGTTTACCATCCTCTCCTTTGGCTCTGTTCTCAGTCTAAATCTTATTCCTTATAGCATTATTAGTTAAGTCCATTACAAGATGCTTTTTGAAATCTCCCTTTCTGTAAAATTGCATCTTCTTATTCAATTTTCTGAGTTACTGATAACTTGGAAGTCTAAGACTAAGAGTAAGATAAATAAACAGAGGCTGTTATATTGTGTTGAATTTCATTATTATAATGGTTTGCTTTAGGCGCCTTTGATTATTAGTCATCAAAGTTTACCCCATTAACAGTCCTCCTTAGACTAGTTTGATACATCTACCTGTAAGACCATGAAACCCAGATTTAGACTAATCATACTAGGGGAAAAACACAGTATGAAGCATGGAAAGACTTTGATCCAAAACACAAATCATTTGCATTGGATTGACGCAATGTTAGACTGGGATATTTGCCTTTTCAATCATTTAGGTTTCATCATATGCTTCTTTGGTTTTCAGGTTGCAGCACTTAGTTTTGGTGAAGTCTACAATGCACAATATGTTAAGATGTATAATATATTCATGGTCTAGTTACATGTGCCACTATCAATTTTCTGTATGTTATGCCTAATTTAACATAACATTATTCTGGAAGAAAATTACTCATAATCGAAAAGTTTGGAAGAAAATAAAAAGTAAATATTTATTTTAATCAATTGTATTTTGGAAGAAAATTACTCATTATTGAAAAGTTTACAAAGACATAAGTCTTCTTTAAACTACACAGACATAAAATTTACATATTCTCAATGTATATAACTTTGGGCAAATTTTCTGATTTCCTAATTTATTTTTTATTGGAACAAATCAGACTATTCTTCCCTCAAGCTTATGCAAATGGATTTAGCAAGGAACATGTATGTTGTCCTTAATGATTTTAGGCTTTCCTATTGTGTGTATTTAACTGGTTCATATGATGCTGTTTCTTCCCGCATTCATTCAGAACTTGGCACTGTTTCTCACTTCATTTTACAAGGCAAGTTTGTTCTCTTTCAGATGAATATGTTGATAGCCTTGCCTTCACCAGCCGTATTTGGATATGATATTTCTGCTGTTTGGTTTATTTCGTAACAGGATCTTTAAGCTTGATGGATTGTGTTGTCTATAATTATTGTTTACTCATCCATAAAAGAGTTTGCGATTATGATTAATCTTCAAGCCTTCAATAAGGATGTTATTAATTGTCTCCTTTTCTTTTTGCAGTCACATATTTGTGTGCTAGAAACCACACAACAGAATGTAGCCGCATTGCTGATGGGTCTTGAATATCTAATAAACATCTCATATGTACGCAACCAGTCAGCTTAACGACCTCATCGGCAAGTCGGGCCATGCGCTTTCTCAGCTTTATAGAAAACTTCTCAAAGCTTTTCGTCTGGGACAGGTGCAGGAGGAGGAGTAAATCCAACAACAGATTCTTCACTTGTTTCATCTGTCTCATCATTATGAAACATCATCAAGTTGATAGGTGGCATAAGTTGTTTAAGCTGATCCGTAGGATCAATTCGCACCTTAGACGCCATGGCAAACCTAGTGATCAACGACCCAAAAGGCAGGGAATGAGTTTCGTAGTAGTCGTCTGGGATTGCAGCCAGGCAAATGGCTCGGAAAATGTGGGCGGGCAGATCAATGGACACATTATTATTCCCAATGGCATAAAGGAGGCTTGCTCTGTCAAAATCAATTAAGCTACTGTCAAGGAGACGTTCTTCAGGGTCGATATCAGCACTTACTATTGTGTTAAGTATTCTGTAAAACTTAATCAGATTGCGATGGCTTATTAAAATCTCAGATTGATTACAGTAGCAGAAAGTTGGCTGTGATCTTCATTCGCATTCATTAACTTTGCGAGGGCAAAAACAGCAAGTAGAAACAGAGGCTTAGCAATGATATGCTCATTGCTTAACTACTATCTATTGGCAAAGAATGATTAATCCAGTACCCAAGTAACATTATTAAGACAGTCATGAGTTCTCAAAGTTAAGGCACTAATCATATAACAAATTAACAATAATATGATCTAAAATAGGGTATTATCCGTTACCAAGACAAGCAAAACCAGCTGCTGAGGAAGCCAATCCAGCACCAGTAGGAAAATTGTCGTATGAAGCAATTGTACATTCAACTTTTCCCAATCCTTCTTAGTAATCTTGATTCCCTTTTCCTTATCATGAACATCGGTAGCTCGACTACGAATTTCCCTTAAACAGCTCTGGAATCTGCCTCCAGAAAGAGAGATTTCCCAAAACGATCATGGTATTTGTAAAAGCAAATTATTAAACCTCTGAGAATTCTGTGGCAAAATTAATAGTGCCAATTTTTAAGTTTTAGTTCCAACCTATAACACAATTTGTACAAATTTATGATTTTTAAAACTCAAGACCCACACATTTATGATCAAATTGAATGATTCGGTCGAGTTGACCCAAAATTGTGTCCACCCCTAAAGAGAGATAATGTAGGCTGTGCAGTTCATAAAATGAAAAATATAAATAATTTTATACAAACTTTAGCATCAAAAAGTAAGTTTTTGGCTTATGTGTGGCTTTCTTCATTTTCATCTCTCATACTTTTCTTATTCTTTTTAATAAAAGTACGGATAAAAAGTATGAATGGAAAGATCCATGATCATTTGCCACTAACAAAAGCATGGATAAAACATCCCCACGCATAATGCATGCTTGAATGTGAAAGAGAAATTTCATATTACCAAGAATTCTGTTTACACTCAGTGTTTCAATGGGTTTCTATTTTTATTCTCACCATTCTCTGGACACCCAACTCTTCCCAAAAATACCATTTCTCTACTTCATCAAAATATTTTTCTTTGGACATCTATCTCCATCATTGATTGATTTCATTTTCTTTGTCACCAACCCTGAACCCAGCTCTACTCATCTCCTCACTTCACCTCATTTAATATACAATGATTGCATATGTGCAAAGGAGGGATGAGATGAGAGAATGATGAAAAATAAATTGATGGAGAACCAAAGAGTGAGAGGAAAACTGAAGAAATGAAAACGTTTAGACTTTCAGATCCAAAAGAGTTTTGGAATTTCATTATTTTATAGTTTACGTTGTAGGGTATATATAAAAGTCTGTTAAAATTAAGAAGAATGCAAGCTATCTTCCCATTTGTGCCTTATTTTTCCACCTCCTTCATGCTCAGCTTACACTATGGTTTAATGAACAAAATTTTGTATGTTCTTGGTCACCCTTCAAAGTTCATCACAACAAAAGGGTTATTTTAGGCCTAAGGTAACATACCAAGAACATACCCTTGGGGCCCTAGTCATTAACAATCACGTTAAGTGCTCTGGTCAACATTGTCCCGAAGGGTATCTGCTATACCAAGAACATACCCTTGGGGCCCTAGTCATTAACAATCACGTTAAGTGCTCTGGTCAACATTGTCCCGAAGGGTATCTGCACTGGTGGACATTACTTTCCCAACCAATTTGGACTCTAATAAGCCACTATCAAGCTGACAAACAAGTTTATGAAAACCAGGTTCATCTGGGTCTGGCCTATCAAGTTTTTTTGCTTGTTTTTGGTTACAAGCGACATTGGGAGGAGGAAATCACATCTAGGACCTCAAGTGTAAGGATAGATGCTCTTAACCGCTTGAGCTACAAGCCCTTGCTAGCCTATCGAGTTTAAGAAAATGGTCAATGCGAGTATTTGGGTTTGCCTACCAAGTTTTCATTATGGCTCTACAAATGTTTGTAAAATCCAAGAGAAAGCAGTGATTGGCCTGCAGGCCTTGATGGAATTGCATATGATGGAGCCTTTATGCTACACAACACTACATATCTGCAAGTAATGGGCAAGAACTTGAACATTTCTACAAATTGAAAAGAAGGAAAATGCTTGTGATTGCTTTTCCAGGAAGACCTTCAATCTTGTACTCCACACACATTTAGCACACATTTTATACATAAATTTTGGTACGAGGCATTTTGCAGCTCACAAGTAAGCCTAATACAATCTTAAAATCCACAAAATAGAGCATTGCAAGCCTGACCAAATACAAAAGGTCTGTTTACAAAAAGGCATCTTCTACCATGTGCCCAGAACAACATGTTGAATTATGAAAGGAAAGAATTGTCCACTCTGCTCCCTGTCACAAGGCAGTACTAATTGAAAACTTGAAGAGGTATCATAAGGTAATGCACTTGGAAACTACATCAAAGGAGGGAGTATGTGCAAGTAAATTCTGTCCAATTGGCTACACTAGCATTCTTACTGAAACTCATTCAAGGATGGAGTATGTGCAAGTATATTCTGTCCAATTGGTTCATACTTTTCTTTTTTTTTTTCTTTAATTTGGAGTAGAAGGATTTACAATTGGGATATTTCAGTTCAAATCTCTCAGTTGAACCAAATAATTGAACCCTAAAAGCTCCTTTCAAAACATAAAACAAGAAAACTTGAATGGATTATAAGTTATGTTCTTGAAGCATGTAATTCATAGCTAACAAGTCAAGAAGCTAATTGTAACCAACATAAGACGTTATGCAGTAGTGCTTGGAAGTGTGAGTGTGAATAAGAATAAGGACAAGAACAAGTATATAAAGAGAATGATACATGAAAAAGAATATAAAAAAATAGTCATACTACTCTATCAATGATTGATAAAGCAATAATATATATACGCTCTTCTATCTAGATATTAAGTAGGAATCTTACAGAGTGAAGTATCAATGTTTGATGTGTTGAAGGCATAAAACTAAACAATATAAAATGCAGAACTAGAAATTAAGTTAGAGAGAGAGAGAGAGAGAGAGAGAGAGAGAGATAGCATATCTCAAACTTTCTTCTTTTCCTGAGAGAAAGTAAATGTTGATAAGTGGCTTTATGTCTAAGACCTATTTTATATCCCCTGAGCTATTGGCTCAATTTTCATCAAGAAAGTTACCTTCAGATTGACTAATAAGTAAGAGTATCCACTCTGTCTTCTCAACATTAGGAAGAGATTTCAGTAGAGAGAATTCTTCTGGGTTACCACTCAATATTATGCGTACAGCCTTAAAAACTTGCAATCTACTGAGGTTAGGTATCTTTGAAACCACTCCAAGGACCTCCTCTCATTTGAGTTGTAGTTTCATTTGACTTGCCAAAAACTCCTGCAGTAACTTTGACACCTCACCAGCTGCATGTTCCAATGGATCTTTTTTCGCTTTCTTATTTGGATGCGAGTCTGAAGTTGAAGTTAACGGATTTATACAAACATGCGAGTTAGGAATCAACTTGCCGTTAGTTTCTTCTTCAACCTCTGATATTAAACTGACATAATATCTTTGTTTACACACAAAGATATTAAACTGACAAAGTATTTGGTAACAAGCTGAGAGAAAGCAAACATCTGATTCTAATCTATCTGAATTCTGAAGTATAACAGCATTGACTAAACCAGCCAAGGAGTGCAATGCATCGTGACTATTACAACCAGAAAGAGACAAAATGTGATGAAGTTCATACCTCATTGTCACATGAAGTATTTGAGTCGTCAATTTTATTATCTATGTACAGATTACAGAGATGTGGGAACGTTGTAAAATTTATTATCTATGTACAGATTACAGAGATGTGGGAACGTTGTAAAATTTATGTTTTCAAGAACAAAGGCAACTAATTTTCGAAGACAGGAAAATGAGAAAATATGAGCCATTATCACATTAGTAGACTACTTCATGATTTATCTCTTCATACTAAACCTTAAAAGAATACAGATGTGATTTCAAACAGAGAGCTTATCTTCTAAAGGTTTCACTTACCATGCAAACAATATATCACTACTACAAAAAGGCAAAAGACGACGGGAATTCACCGTCGTGTATCGGGTTTTCAAACCGTCGTAAAATCGACCGACATCTTTTCCAAAGTAAAACCACGACGGTAAATCACCGTCGTTGTTATAACAAACAACGTCATTAACAAAAAAGTACCAAAATCTTTTAATTTACAAATATTAAGATCCTCTTTACCCAGTAATGGAACCATAGTGTCAAAAACAACGTATGTAAAATGCAATTGTCAAGCCAGAAGATATAAATTGCATATTTCCCTCTGTGATTACTAACTCCTTATCTGATAATTGCAAGATACTTAGAAGAGTTTAGTCACTAATATATGCTGGAATGATTAATTTTGTTTGATGACAGTGTTGATGCTTTAGAAACATAATATTATCCAAAAGAAAAAAAAAAGATATTTAAATATTACGATTCATAGTTGGTCATGAGCCTCCACAATGGGATTCTTCTGTTGGCACTAAAACTGAACAGATAGAGATGAGTGCAACTTACAAGTAGTGAGGACGATCTAGTAGATCGATTGAGTGATAGATGCAGATTCTTCATGTCCTTGGATGTAGATCCTGAATGGAAGAAAGTCAAGACTCGTGAGGTTTATGGAACCGGTGTGAAACCAGCCTAAGACCCTCCGATGCCAAAGTAAGTTTGTTTTCTAAGAGCTTTTGCTGTTGACAAGATATTAGTATAAAAGTCAAGCTGAAAAGTCTTACCCCTGTATTGTAGTGAAGGAGCTTATTTATAGAGGGCACTTTGTATGCTCTTAGTACTTAATTTCGATGTGGGACTCGTGGGAGGGCCCTGTGAGGTTGACACGAGTCTTTAGATATTTCGGGCGGGTGCTTCGAGGTTGATTCTGTATAATCGGTAAGGGATGCCGATTGTAGACAAGGCTGGGCCTGTAGCGACTGTTTGCGGCTTTGAGACAATGCCATTGGTAGCCGATGCCGATTGTTCGAGGCCTTGGGTACTTGGGTGAGTTTCTCTGATCCATGTGTTGTTGTATGAGTGGAGGGTCAGATA